CATCCCACCAAAAATCAGTCAAATGCCTTCAGCATCAGGCCAAATACATCTTTTCAGTCTTTATCAAGAGCAGCAGAGCACAAGAGCCTAATTCACATGTGTCAGTGTTCATTAAATCAAAGAGCAGGTATTAGGCCCTCTCAGACCGCACAGTTTGTGTGCTGGAATAAGGGGGCTGACTTAAAGGATAAAGGCATACAGAGTGTTTTGGAGTATTTGGATTTGATTTTCCTCGGGGATAACATTATCCCTGTCAGATTTATTCCTCTGATCAGTCAGCACTATTGGACTCCCAACGTGCATTTTATCTCTTGTTTTCACCTCATCTTTAATCCTTTATTCCTCTCTCTCCTTTTTTTCCCACCCCTCCCATTCTTTATCTTTCTTGTTTTTTCTTTTTCTTTCTTTTTCTGCAGTGGTGTCGGTGTCATATTGCAGTCAGATGTTGCTGGCTTGCAGAGTGCCGCAAGTGTTGCATCTCTGAACCGCTACTTCCTGCTGCAGTACCATTTACAGCAGCTCATTTTTCAGCTCATTCATCACGATTACAGTATATGATGAACACAACCACACCACAGAGACAAAGAAACTGGGTATGAGGACAGAAAAAAAATGACAATTAAATGAGAGAATGAAAAAGAGAAAAGATGAGGAAGGGTATGCATGTGAGACGGGAAGAGAAAAATATGAGATGTAGACAGCCAGAGGCCAAAGGGTCAGTGTTCGGCTGGTTAGCCTCATTATTCCCTGCTGGTAGATGTCCTAACTACACCATCTGGCTGCACAGAGCATCCTGCAATTAAGGCTTACTATTACTTATTATTTTAATTAATTTGCTTTTTAATTTATTTAAATAATAATAATAATAATAATAATAATTCTATAATATTTTAGAGATTTATCTTTTACTCACCCTCAAGTTCCAAAAGTTATTTTCAAGAATTTTGGTAACTAAACTGTATTTTTCAGCTTTTTTTTTGTATTTGTCTGTTGTTATTGCCTGTGTTTTTGGACCGACGTGTGTCCGTAATAAAGTGTTTTTCCCCCATACTATGGAAGTCAATGGCTACCAGCAACTGTTTGGTTTCCAACATTCTTCAAAAAGATATTCTTTTGTGTTTGAGTTTAAAACTTTGAATTTTAGACCAACGCAAAGCCCAAAGTATACTTAATTTTTGTACATGCACGCTAGCGTATGTGTACAGTCGAAAGCGTAGCCTTTCAAAGTATACTCCATTGGATAGTGTGTGTGAATGCAGGCAGTCGACACATGCGCTCTAGAAAGCTTAATCTTTGTCCAGCGTCTGCTGTATTTTTCTTCAGCAGTTATGACTGTTAAAAATGTCTTTGTACTCTTTAAACTAAAGTTGCGTCTCTCTCATAACCCCCTCACACAAGTGCTTGTCAATGCTGGCGTCTGTTGTTGTTGCAGTCTCCGTTATTTTGTTGTTGTTGTTCCGTCTCTTTAGTTTATTTTTTCACTGTGAAATAACGGCCCGGGCCAGTGTTGCCACCTTGTGGAATAACTGATAAGTGCAATACCATGTCAATGCGCTCGTGCGACCTGCACGCGCGCATACTATTTTGGCGACGAAATTTGCGTCATGCGCACTGTACGCGGACCCTCGTGTATGTATAAAAACTGAAGTATATTTTGGCCTTAAGAGTGAGTAAATGATGACAGAATTTTGTGGTGAACTATACCTTTAAACAGGCAAAAATGGAAAATGATTAAAATCATCTCATCTAACTTTTTATATCATCTGGACTTGATATAAAATATGCATTGTATCTCCCAGTATATGAATCAGAATCATAACCTACAGGATCAGAATCAGAACCTACATATGCTGACCTATTAAGGTATTAAAAAAGAAAAAGTCTATTTATTATTAAATCAATATTACCTATTCTAATCAAATATACCTGCCTGTAATTTTTAAATATATCTGAAAACTTTTAGCAGTTGTCGTTGCTAGGAAACGCTTGTTTTGTTTACTGTGGAGACGTGCTGAAATCGCGTTTGGTCTCGTACTGTATCGCGTACCTTGTCAGTGTTGTGCGCTTTCCTTGGCCATTTGTTGTGATAAACAGGAAAGTATGTTCAAGTGCCAGCAAACCAAAGTGTTAAGATATACTCTTTGAGAGAAGCAGTCAATCAGCAGAAGTTAAACGCAGCTCGTAAGTGTATTTATTTCTTGTCTCAGTGTTTAGCGCAGTTGTCGTTGCTAGGAAACGCTTGTTTTGTTTACTGTGGAGACATGCTGAAATCGCGTTTGGTCTCGTACTGTATCGCGTACCTTGTCAGTGTCGTGCGCTGTTGTGATAAACATTGGCCATTTGTTGTGATAAACATGAAAGTGTGTCCAGCTGAATTCAATTTGAGTTTTGTTAAACGAATAAAAAAAAAAAAAGCTTAGTTTACCGCGGAAGCGGTCGTGTGAAGACCGAAGAGTGTAAAGACCATCGACTCTACCGTGCAGGGACACTGATTACAGAACCGGCTTTACTGACAAGACGCGCATTAAATATCGCATGCGATTTATCGTGTAGCCCTATATTGAATGTATTTATATATATGTACATGTATATGTATATGTGTGTGGCTGTACATACACATATGTAGTTGTTTTTTGGTGTTTGGCTTAGTGTTATGTTAGAATCATTATTATACTCATACCTTTTGTTCTTTTAATATTTTTGAATTGTTTTTAGCTTTATATTTTTGTTTCATTTAAATGTTTTAGTTTTGAAATGCTGTTGTATGCATTTGTCATTTTTATTTTCTTTTATTTTCTTAAATGTGTGTATATATATATAGTATTTATAGAGTTTTAGCTTGTAGTTTTAATTACTTTTTCTTATTTGTAAGTCAAATTCAAAAATGGAGGAAGCGCTCATTTTAGCCGTAGCGCAGCATCCTATTTTATATAATACATCTTTAAAAGATTATAAAAATCAAATAAAAAAAGAAGCGATGTCAATGGAAACAGGAACAGATGGTTTTGAATGCGGACACATTTTTATAATTTTTTATTGCTTAGTGTGTGTATATATATATATATATATATATATATAGAGAGAGAGAGAGAGAGAGAGAGAACAAT